CCCAGCCTGCCAATCTAGTGGAACTGCCCTCGATGTCCACGTGATATTGCAGAGCTGCGTCAACCAACACAGCCCCACAACACCCAGAGCTTTAAGGAAATCCGAATGGATCTCATCCACCCCTGGAGCCTTGCCACTCAGGAGTTTTTTGACCACCTCAGTGACCTCGGCCCCAGAGGCTGGAGAGTCCAACTCAAAATCCCCAGACTCTGCTTCCTCACTGGAAGACGTGCCAGTGGGATTGAGGAGGTCTTCGAAGTATTCCGCCCACCGATTCACAACGTCCCGAGTCGAGGTCAGCAGTGCATCTACAACTTATAAAAATCCTGACTACAGGTGATGATGTGTGATATTTCAGTATCCAGAGTTTCCACACCAACCCACAGCCCACAGGCATGGTATGTATTAGAAGTCACATAACCAATCACAGCTAAACATGTTAGAAACAGAAACGTTTGAGAATGCAGCAAGGTAAGAGCTACATGAACTCAGCGTGTTCCCAGTTCCTCGGCCCACTACACTTAGCTCACTATTTCCAATCAAGCCACACGTTTTGTTGTATGGATTTTGTCTTTGCTGGAAACGGAAGGTCCTAACCTTAACACAAGAGAATAAAAATGCTTGTGTGCTGGCACCATCGATACAAGGTACAATAACTAAGAATTTTATCTTGCAATAATCACAGAAAAGTCTAAATGTTTCAATTATGTTTGAAGGAAGGTTACGTAGAAACAGAAGTAATTCGCAACTGGCTGGAGGGTTTTCAGTTTTTCTCCTTGTAAAAAGGCAAAAGAGGGATGTAATCTCTGTTTACAGTCTGTCCTGCCACCATACTTCCTGGTTCCAAGGCCAATCACGTTTGAGCCACAGCATCTTTTTGTTTTATTCTAATATTGGGCAGAGAAAGCCAGATATTACAGTGAAATGTGTTTTATCAACTTACTCCTCCTTGAACTGTCACCTTATCGTGGTGGAGGAGTTTGAGTGCCCTAATGATCCTAGGAGCTATGTTGTCTGGGGCACTTAGTGCCCCTGGTAGGGTCTCCCATGACAAATTGGTCTTAGGTGAAGGGTGAGACAAAGAACGGTTCGAAGGATCTTTCATGGCGGTTAAAACGAAGAGTCGGAGTACCCGGCCCGGAGGGTTACCGGGGTCCCACCCTGGAGCCAGGCCTGGGGTTGGGGCCCGTGAGCGAGCGCCTGGTGGCCGGGCTTTCGCCCATGGGGCCCGGCCGGGCCCAGCCCGAACCGGATACATGGGCTCGTCCAACTGTGGACCCACCACCCGCAGGAGGAACATGAAGGGTCCGGTGCAATGCGAATCGGGTGGCAGACCAAGGCGGGAGCCTTGGCGGTCCAATCCCCGGACAAGAAAACTAGTTTTTGGGACATGGAACGTCACCTCGCTGGCGGGGAAGGAGCCGGAGCTTGTGGCAGAGGTTGAGCGGTACCGGCTAGATATAGTCGGACTCACCTCGACACATTGCATTGGCTCTGGAACCCGAGACCTGGAGAGGGGTTGGACACTCTACTTTGCTGGAGTTGCTCCGGGTGAGAGGCGGAGGGCTGGGGTTGGCTTTTTGTTAGCCCCGAGACTCTCTGCCTGTGTGTTGGGGTTTACCCCGGGGGACAAGAGGGTAGCTTCCTTGCGCCTTCGGGTCGGGGAACGGGTCCTGACTGTTGTTTGTGCTTATGGGCCAAATATCAGTTCAGAGTACCCACCCTTTTTGGAGTCCCTGGGACGAGTGCTAGATAGTGCTCCATCAGGGGACTCCATTGTCCTGCTGGGGGACTTCAATGCTCACGTGGGCAATGACAGCTTGACCTGGAGGGGTGTGATTGGGAGGAACGGCCCACCTAATCTGAACTCGAGCGGTGTTTTGTTATTGGACTTCTGTGCAAGCCGCAGTTTGGCCATAACGAACACCATGTTCGAACATAAGGATGCCCACCGGTACACTTGGTACCAGGGCAGCCTAGGTCACAGGTCGATGATAGATTTTGTAGTCGTATCATCTGACCTGCGGCCGTATGTTTTGGACACCCGAGTGAAGAGAGGAGCGGAGCTGTCAACTGATCACCACCTGGTGGTGAGTTGGATCAGATGGCAAGGGAACATGCCGCGTAGACCTGGCAGACCCAAACGCATAGTGAGGGTCTGCTGGGAACGCCTGGCAGAAGAACCTGTCAAGACGGTCTTCAACTCCCACCTCCGGCAGAGCTTTGACCACGTCCCGAGAGCAGTGGGGGACATTGAGTCCGAGTGGGCCTTGTTCCACTCTGCGATTGTCGAGGCGGCTGTTGCTAGCTGTGGTCGTAAGGTGGCCGGTGCCAGTCGTGGTGGCAACCCCCGTACCCGCTGGTGGACACCAGAGGTTCGGGGAGCCGTCAGGCTGAAGAAGGAGGCCTACAGGGCGTGGCTGGTCTGTGGGTCTCCGGAGGCAGCAGACAGGTACCGGATAGCCAAGCGGGGTGCAGCAGTGGCAGTTGCCGAGGCAAAATCTCGGGCGTGGGAGGAGTTTGGTGAGGCCATGGAGAAAGACTATCGATCGGCTCCAAAGAGGTTCTGGCAAACTGTCCGGCGCCTCAGGAGAGGAAGGCAGCAACTCGCTCACACTGTTTACAGTGGGGATGGGGAGCTGCTGACGTCAACTGAGGCTATAGTCGGACGGTGGAAGGAATACTTTGAGGAGCTCCTCAATCCCACCAGTGCGCATTCCGAGGAGGAACCAGAGCTGGGAGGCCTGGGGATGGACTGTCCGATCTCGGGGGCAGAAGTTGCTGAGGTAGTCAAACAACTACACAGCGGCTGAGCCCCGGGGGCGGATGAGGTTCGTCCTGGGTATCTCAAGGCTATGGATGTTGTAGGGCTGTCATGGTTGACACGTCTCTACAACATTGCGTGGTCATCGGGGGCAGTTCCTAGGGAGTGGCAGACCGGGGTGGTGGTCCCCATCTTTAAGAAGGGTGACCTGAGGGTGTGTTCCAACTATAGGGGGATCACACTCCTCAGCCTCCCTGGAAAGGTCTACTCCAAGGTACTGGAGAGGAGGGTCCGATCGATAGTTGATTCTCAGATAGAGGAGGAGCAATGTGGTTTTCGTCCTGGCCGTGGAACTGTGGACCAGCTCTATACCCTTGCAAGGGTGATGGAGGGGGCATGGGAGTTTGCCCAACCAATCCACATGTGCTTTGTGGATTTGGAGAAGGCGTATGACCGTGTCCCCAGGGGCACCCTGTGGGGGACGCTCCAGGAGTATGGGGTGGGTGGCTTTCTGTTAAGGGCCATTCAGTCCCTTTACCAGAGGAGCGTGAGTTTGGTCCGCATAGCCGGTAGTAAGTCGGACCTGTTCCCAGTGAGGGTTGGACTCCGCCAGGGCTGCCCTTTGTCACCGGTTCTGTTCATCACTTTTATGGACAGAATTTCTAGACGCAGCCGTGGTGTGGAGTGTGTCGAGTTTGGTGGCAGGAGAATCTCGTCTCTGCTTTTTGCGGATGATGTGGTCCTCCTAGCTTCATCCAGCTCTGACCTCTTGCTGGGTAGGTTCGCGGCCGAATGTGAAGCGGCTGGGATGAGGATCAGCACCTCTAAATCTGAGACCATGGTTCTCGACCGGAAAAGGGTGGCTTGCCACCTCCGGGTCGGGGGAGAGGTCCTACCTCAAGTGGAGGAGTTTAAGTATCTCGGGGTCTTGTTCACGAGTGAGGGTAGGAGGGATCGGGAGATCGACAGGCGGATTGGTTCGGCGTCTGCAGTGATGCGGACGCTGAGCCGATCTGTCGTGGGGAAGAGGGAGCTGAGCCAGAAAGCCAGGCTCTCGATTTACCGGTCGATCTACGTCCCAATCCTCACCTATGGTCATGAGCTTTGGGTAATGACCGAAAGAACGAGATCGCGGATACAAGCGGCCGAAATGAGTTTCCTCCGTAGGGTGGCCGGGCTCAGCCTTAGAGATAGGGTGAGGAGCTCGGACATTCGGGAGGGACTCGGAGTAGAACCGCTGCTCCTCCGGATCGAAAGGAGCCAGTTGAGGTGGTTTGGGCATCTGGTCAGGATGCCTCCTGGACGCCTCCCCGGGGAGGTGTTTCGGGCATGTCCTGCCGGCAGAAGGCCCCCGGGTCGACCCAGGACACGTTGGAGAGGTTACATCTCCAATCTGGTCCGGGAACGCCTTGGGGTCCTGCCGGAGGAGCTGGTGGACAAGGCCGGGGAGAGGACGGCCTGGAGCTCCCTAGTTGGGATGCTGCCCCCGCGACCCGGACCCGGATAAGCGGAGGAAGACGACGACGACGACGACAACTTACTATGTATGACTTGTCTTCATTCCTCATCTAGAACCTTCTGGTGCTGATTCGTAACTGGCAACCGGTGCTCTGAGTGTCAAAGTCAAATTTATTTATTTATAAAGCACATTTAAAACGGCACGGCAGCCTACCAAAGTGCTGAACAGGGGAGGGTAACAAGAGCAGATGAAGACACTAAAAACGTGCAGCAAACAGTAAAAAAAGTAAAACCCCATTTAAATAAGCAGTCAGACAAAAACAGTACATATAAAAGACATAAAGGCAACCTAAACCATGTGGCATACCAGTGGGGTAGAGTTTACCACAGTCGATGATATAAAAGACCCTGTAAGATTAATGCTAAAAGTCATTTTAAAATAACGAGTTTTCAGAGCAGATTTAAAATGTGCTAGCGAGGGAGCCATTATTTTGTAGCCCATTCACCACATGATTTATGTTCCATTGAAGGAACACAGAGCAAATACTGTTACACAACAGTGATCTTGTTGAAGCATACTGCTGTGTATTCATTGTGTGTACCAGAGTGGATTTGTTTGCTTCGATACATGGACTGCAATACCCCAACCTGACCACAGGGCATCATCCTTACTTTGTGCACATTTAAGTTACTAGTGATTATATCCTGTTGTTGTTTTTATCCTGCCACTTCAGTACAAAACATGGCTCTAAAAACTCTCTTTCTGGTTTTCCTCCAGTTCTTTCCTTACGGCGATGCCTCCAAGTTCGCTCAGCATGCCTTCAGGACCTTTGACAAGAACGGCGACGGAACCATCGACTTCAGAGAGTTTATCTGTGCTCTGTCCATTACATCACGTGGCAGCTTTGAGCAGAAACTCAACTGGGCTTTTAACATGTACGATCTGGATGGAGATGGCAAGATCACACGAGTGGAGATGCTGGAGATCATCGAGGTATCAGTGAAAACCAACACACACGTCTAATTTTGAGTTGTTCTCCTAAAACCTTTATGCTCTATTCTGCTCAGAGTTAGCCAACAAAGCTGGCCACTATTGTTTCCTAAAAGTGTCCTCAGTCACCAACCCTGAGATGATCTGCCACCCCAGTTGGTTGATAATAAACTCACCAAGTTACAGGGATGTTACGGTTTAATTCTAGATTTTGTCTCTTCCACATGACCACAGTTATACGCTCAAATATAAACATATACGTACATCCCCTCTGATATTTGGTTAAATGTCCCTTAGTAAGTGGAAACCATTGTTATTCTCCACTGGTAACCATAAGCTCACCACGTTGCTGTAGAACAGGGGTCACCAACCTGGTGCCCCCAGGAACGTTATACAGTCAGCAGTTATCGCCGTTGCCAGTCTGAGGCTTTGTGAGGACCAGCCACTGAAGAAGGTGCTCTCCACTGTTTGACCCACTACTTTGGAGCAGATATTCAAGAGTTTTACTATTCTTGACTTGGACTGGACATTAAGGCTGCACAGCCAAACTGGACGCCCATAATGCACGATGCGCAGAATGGTTACATTGAAAAATCTCTGGAGGATCGTACTGCTGACACCAAAGGACCTTAAGCCCGGACCACACTGTGCGTTTTTGGGCCATCTTGGAAAAATCTCTTGTTGTAAATGTTGAGGGTTATTTGCAAAACTGTGGTCGTATAGTGTGACCGTTTCAGCGACAGCTTACTGAGCACATTCACAACCAAAGTCAGCCTCCAACAGTCTTCAAGCACTGCTTGAAAACCTACCACTCCCATCTGCAATCCACCAATGAAAATACACCCAGGAAGTGATGCAAACAGCTAGTGATGAGAGTGCAATATGAAAGGAACGTTAGCAACATTAGCATCATTGGAGGCAAACTTTGTTTTGGAGTTTGGTTCTGACTCTAATAAAATAAGTGTTAATGGTAGCACTTTTTTCTCTTTTCAACATTGTTGTTTTGGTTAGCTGTTGGCTTTTGGTGACGTTTGCTTTTCAGGAAGGGTGCACTCATGCATTAGCTCATCCTGCTAGAGCAAAGCGTTGTGCAGTTTGGCTCACTGAAATCTTGGACTGTAAATTGTGCCACCTCGCTAGAGTTGTTACAGTGTGTCATGAGCAGTCCTGTGAGACAACCATGACACTCAGTGGTCCGGGCTTAAGCCTTCTTAGATGATGGTGTTGAGAGAGGAGCGGTGGTGCATGAGGAGGTCTGGAGTGGCAGAGAAGAATTTTAGAGAGGTGCACAGGGTATCCGCGGGTCCTTAAAAAGTCTTAACCCTTTGATGCATAATGGTCACTACAGTGGACAGGTACTCAAAATTGTTATTTATTTATTTTTGCTATTAAGCACAGCTGTTGAAGACTTTATTGCATGTGAGCCCCTCCGTTTGGACTTCAGTAAGTCAAGCCACCATATTTCATGTTCAGAATGCACGCTGTCCACTGAGATGGACATGTAATAAAGTATTTGTAAATTAACAAAATTGTGCAAAAAATATTTGTTGAAATTGTTTTCATTCACACCTAAAGATGAATGAAAAAAATTGTTTAAAAAATCATGGTTGAAGATTTCATAATTCATGCATCAGAGGGTTAAATTTGCTTTTCCAAATTTAAGGCCTTAAAAATCCTTAAAAATGACAAATAATCTTTAAATACAGTTTCTAAAGGTCTTAAATTACCAAAGACCCACTAACCAAAATTCTTTTATTTCTATAAAATTTTAATGAATTTCTAGTTGGCGTTCAGCATTTTTTGTGTATGATCTTGGTGAAAGCGGAACCATACACACTCAGTTGGTTGTGAAAGGGGGCTATTTTTAGATGAGCACATTAGCTGGTTGAGCTAGTGGGAGCTTGCACCATGGGGAAGTGCAAGTTTAATGGTAACTGGATGGCTAATCCCACAATCGCGACGTGGTTAGCACCGGTTCCAGGCAATAGCTGGAAATTATAGCTTAAATTAAATTTTTAAAAAATTGCTTAAATTTGGTCAAAGTGGCCTTAAAAAAGGTCTTAAAAGTCTTTAATTTGGCTCCCTTAAACCTGCAGATACCCTGGGTGCAGAACATGTATGAGAGCTGTGAGACAGCGGTGAGGTGGAACTGCATCAAGGATCAACTCTGAGCACCTTCTTGTTTGCTTTGGTGATGGACAGACTCACAGACGACATCAGACAGGAGTCTCCATGGACTACGATGTTTGCAGATGACATAGTGATCTGCAGTGAGAACAGGGTGGAGGATTAAGAGAAGCTAGAGAGATGGAGACATGGGCTGGAAACGAGAGGAATGAAGACAGAATCCATGTAAGTGGAACATTGATGCAACAGGGAGTAGAAGTAAAGAAGGTAGGGAACACAAGGACATAGGGTCTGCGGTCCAAATCTATGGAGGAGGTGGAAAAGAGGCTGTTTGTAATGGGTGGAGAAATGTGTCAGGTGTGATAAAAGGTTTTAGCAACAATGAAAGGACAGGTGTAGCGATAGAACTGGAGGTTGCAGTTCTCTTGGGAGTGATGAGGATGGATAGGATCAGGAGTGAGTCCATCAGAGGGACAGCTCACGTTAGATGTTTTAATGTCAGAAGGGACAGAAGAAGATGGTTTGGACACGTCCAGAAGAGAGACAATGATGACATCAGTAGAAGAATGCTGAGGTTGGAGCCACCAGGCAGGAGGCTGAGAGGAGATTTGGTGTGAGGGTAGAGGACGCAGGAGGAATGACAACATGGAGACAAACAATTAGTTGTGGAGACACCTGAAGGGACACACCCAAAGAGAAAAGACACTTTTCTTATTGTAATGAAATGAAACGTTACAACTTTATTCAAAATGGCTAATAAGATGTGATGATTCCATATAAATATGAAATATCAACCTGATTGATCTTTGAATGTTTAATCTGAAGATTCTAGTTACTTTTACTTCTTTAGGGACCATAAAAACACTCCATATTACTTCAGACAGAGTCAGGTATATAGTTTATAAAATGGGTTTAATTCTTTTTCCTAAACTAATAATTATACATGATAAGATATGAATAATGAGATGTGGTGTAATGGATATGAAGTGGTTTAATGTGTGTGTGAAATGCTATAATGGAAGCTAGATGTTGTAGCAAAATCGTTCTTTGTATCTGAGAGTTTGTGAAGTCTGGGTTGTAAAAGAATTTGTTGTTTGTTTATAACTAGAGTTGTTTATTAACCTCATCAGACGCCAGTGTGCAGGCTTACGGTACCCTTAGTATGAGTTGCTCTCGGCGGTCCGGAGGGGTGCGATCCGAGTGGTGAGGTCACCGGACGTCGAAACCACAATACTCAGAGATTAGTAGCTTCCTCTGGGTCCAGCTTCACCGGCCATAAGATGCAACCCGGGGTCTGCAGGTTGGGTGTCTGAGGTGTGAAGAAGCTCTGAAAAGAGCTGTTTGTCTGTAAATCACTTGCAGCGTCGCAGAGAGGCTTTAGCTGGAGGTCAAAGGAGATGGTTTCAAAAGAGGCTTCTTTTCCGATTTGGCCAAATCGGGAGTCAGCTGGAAACTGAACTAATCGGAAGTACTTCTTGCTTTAATAAACTCGTTGTTTATAATTTCAGGCGAATGTGCCATGTCTTGAGAGCTTACCAAAACATTTTAAGAAGACACGCCTTCTTTAGATACAAAGGTGTTTAACACTTTGTGAATGAGAATGTTTTAAAACACGTACGTGCATCTGGCTTATGATTCATCTTGAGCAACATCTAAGTCAAAGTGTTTAACGCACAGCAGAAACATTCTTTTAGCTCAAGAAAACATTCAGTAGCCTCCGACAGCTCCATCATTTCTGAAATACCAGAAACCACCCGCTCCAATAAGTAGAACTCCGGTACTCATGAATCCAAAAGTCCATACGTCTTCTGAATCCACCCTGGAAAGCAGAGAAAGACACGTAATATTCCACTCCTTCCAGGAATCCAAAATGTATCCAACCAGGTGCATTCCATCCAGACACAAGGGAGCCCCCTTCTCCATTCTTAATGTGGAAAAATATTCTATTTCATTCACAGAACAGCTCATTTCCACAATTTAATAAAAAATTGATGTTTCCAGTAGGAATGCAGAGAAGCGCTTTGGCAGACAGAGAACTGTGAACTGTGGCGTCCCTCAGGGCTCCATTCTGGGCCCAGCTCCCTTTCCCTGTTTAAAAGCTGACAAACGTGTACCAGGGTCCTCCCTGTGATGAGTGGATGTACTGATACTCCTCATCAAACCTGACTCAACATGAATATTTCCGTGAAACAGAATGGAGGAAGCTTGATGGATCATTTCTGTGGATAATCTAATACAAAGTTCAGTGTTTGAGTAATTTTGCAAATAGGTTATTTCAGTCTTATCTATTTTGTTCACAAATGTAGTCAGATTTAAAATGGTTTTACAGACTAACTCAGTGAAAAATAACCAGACTCATTATACATTTTCATTTCTTTTTTACAGGCAATCTACAAGATGGTTGGCACAGTGATCATGATGAAGATGAACGAGGACGGTCTCACACCCCAGCAGCGGGTGGACAAGATCTTCTCCAAGATGGATAAGAACAACGATGACCAGATCTCTCTGGAGGAGTTCAAAGAGGCGGCCAAAAGCGACCCGTCCATCGTACTACTGCTGCAGTGTGACCTACAGAAATAAGGCCAGAGCGCCGGTGAAGCGCCGCACCAGCTGCCAAGGACTGCACAGAAAGAATTTCATGTTCCATTCAGTTTGCAGCTACTTCCACTGAAAAAAAGCGCTTGGACTACAATGGATCTGCTTCTTGTGTTTGAAACACTCGTGTGCATGAGAATGTTATTTACTATAAACAACATCTATACACGACACACACACACACACACCTCTACATACAAACAACTTGCACAAGTAATAAATATATACAGATATAAAATATACATATATATATTGAATTTATTTAATGATCAACTGCCAAATGTGAAGTGTGCAACCTATTTTCCATTCATTCAACTGGAGCTTGCGCATCAGTGATGTGCCACATTCAATTTGCCGCTACTCTATTTATTGTTCAGAGTTTACTGATGCTAGCTGTACGTGTTTCATGATAGAAAACCAAGTCCTGTAACGATGTACCTACCAGCTTCCAACGAGACACTCCGTCCATCCGTCCTCTCAGTTATTAACTCTAGAAGAGACGGACTGTCCAACTCCCCCTCTGAAACATGCCTGCACCATCCGTATGTGCTGTTACTCTAGGTCATTTGCATGCCTTTAGGTTTTGCCTTAAACTCATTTTCATCTGCTGATTGAAGACAGAGAGCCTTATCGACACAACACGTGACTCCTGAACAAAAACAGCTTTTACTTTGAAGTAAATGCAGTAGGTCATCCTACGTATAATATCCTACAACATGTAATCTATGGTTTTTGATTGCTTTGACTATGGGAGCATGCTTCCTTATATTACCTGTGCTATATGTTGCAACCTGTCTGGTGTGTTTACACAAACTCACTACAGAGTAGCAGATGCTGAATTTAGAGGACTGATCGGTTTCTAATGCAATAAAAAAAGAGCTCATCTGGTAGAATTATGAATCCAAAGGCCGATGAAACCAAACAATGTTCTTAAGTCCACAGAAAGTCCCCGTTTATGAAGTTTGCTTTTTAGCTCAGCTTTGTATTATTAGATGAAACTTAAGATACGTCTGTGCGATTATGGGAAAAAAATCTGACAGGAATAATTAACATGACGGGGGGAAAAAATCCAGTTTACAATTTAAGGAGGCTGTAGACACCATTTTAGGTCAGCAGGTGGCAGAGGCGAGCTGTTAAGTGGTGATCAAAACTTGTGAAACCAAAATACTGGAAATATTTAGGTCTGCTTAGAATAAAGAAAATCATTGTGGAGCATTCACCGTTAAAGACACATGTAGACATTAACTAAAGCAGACTTTCAAGCAGCGCTGCAGAGAAAACCTAGTCGCCTTTAAGGCTGCACGAGACAAATGTGCATTTTCTTTTTTTTTTCAAAACTTTATTACAATTGTGCATTTCCTCGTTTCTCTTTGCGAGGATATGACGTCACTCCAAACTCTTCCTATATGATTCAGTCACTAACACCTAAAACAGGCGTGCGCATTAATGAGTCCACTAGATCCGAGGGCTTGCTGCTGCGACCCAAGCAGTTCTTTGAAATATTGATATTGTTGTGATTATTTTCAAATCATTATGAATTGTTCCTTCAGGAGCACTGATGGAATCAGAGCTGTGGACAAAACCTCCTGGCTCTGCATCGGGGCATGGTTGTTCTGGTTAGGGTTAGTAAGAACGTGCTGGAAAAGGTGACTAAATAACTTTATGATTTGGAGCAAATTTTGATATATAAAAGCATGGCCCCGCTTGTTTTCAGTCAGTTGTGTGCAGTTGATTGTGGAGGGCATCCCATAATGTACATTACCTCTCTTTGTTCCCGCAGAGTATTTATGTTTCACCAACCTGCTGCACTTTTTTCTGAAAACTCTGTACAAGTACAGTTAAACGACTTGTGGTAACTCGTAGGAGTTGGGTTAGTTTAAATGGACTGACCTTTGCGTGACCCTGATGTAATCCCAACTGTATTAACACCGGTGTTTATGGAATTAACAGTCTGTCTGTGTCCCTCCAGTAAAACCTCTAATCCGAGCTTCTTTTCATCCACATCTCTGCCCAGATGTGTCCAGTCTCACCTGTTGCTGTGGTCCAGATACCAAATGTAAGCAAAGACAACCGTGTACAGACAGATTTTTGTAGCATGTACCGTGTCCCCGACAACATGGCTGCACTACTCCCTGTTGTGATTTACTCTAATAAAAAGAACTCCATGGATGGTTTCTTGTCTGATAACTCAAACATCTTCTGAGGCAGAAAGCTCTTCTATGAAATAATAGTCAGGATCATCAGTGCAGATATCCACAAATTAATCATCACAGGGCCCAGAGAACATTTCAAATACTCACGATCCCTTTGATGCTGACGTTTCACTTTAGACTCGCTGAACGGAAAACTAAAAAAAAGTCTGATATCATTTTAAAACGTACACCTTACTAGGACTGGGTTGGACCCACTTTAGCCTTCAGCATTTCTGAGGTTCCGGTCCATCCCAACATTACAGCATCGGCTCCAACCATAAGAACCTCCACAAAGGTTCTGGACCGGACTGAGATCTGGAGACTGTGGCGACTGCTGGAGTCCAGTGACCTCATGGTCAAGTTCTAGAAACCAGTTCGAGATGACTCGAGCGTTGTGACACGGTGCATGTCAGACTTTCTCTAGGAAATAAAAACCTGCTGGATGATTCAGATGTGAGGTTTGGAAAACGCTGGGGAGCTTTAGAAAAAGGAGCATTTATTTTACAGGAATGATAAACTTTACACAGCAGTATGTTTAAATAAAAAGTTTGTCTAAATGATGGGTCGGTAGGACAAAGTCACAATAAAAGCCTGAAGCTGCTGTTCTGGACTGGACTAACACCACAGTCCTGCATGTTGGGCCAGATGATTAAAGGGGGAAATGAGTCATCTTAATAAGCCAATAATTGACAGAAAAGTTAATAAAGAACGTCTCTGAAGGTGAACGAAGGCGGATTAGGTGACTCTACTTTGGAGGGTCTGTGTTGATTCCATATTTCTCTTTCAGAAGCTTCAGCTGCTCCTCTTTCTTCTTGGTGTCCATCTTCTGGAAAGCCTGTGCACCAAAAACAGAAAACTTAGTTTTAACCTCTTAACTTCAAACTGCTGAGTCTTCTTTTGGTGCAACCCTGACAGCCCGTGCGTGCTCCATTACTCGTACGTACTCGGTTTGCGTTGTAGTAAAGAACCACCAGGTAACGGTTGCAGACGTTGAAGCCTGAAAGGTGGTCGCAGGCGTTCTTGGCATCGAAGATGTCTTCGTACACAACATAAGCTGTTCCTCTTGTTTCAGGCGTGTTCCCTCTGAGGCAGAAATAGAGCAGAGATAGCAGAATATTAACCACACTGGATGACTCAGTGGCTGCAAACGCCGGTTTTTGCTTTCTTATCACCATTTTACACACCCAGCACCACAGGTGTGCAGGTAAGAGTGAGCCTGGCAGCTGCAACGTGGGTGCAGTCTTGGTAATGCTCATCGCAGCCACAATCTTTCTAAACTATTTGAATAATAAGTAATGAGACTATTACTAAACATATTTGTAGTAATAACATGTTTCTGATCAATATTCTTCCTGAATGGTTTCAGCAGCTCAACTGAGGAAATGACATGGAAACAGGAAGTTGTGTCTTTTTAAAAGACGAGTTTCTCTAGCCGTTTAGACAGATAAAGTTTCTATTCCGTTCCAACTTACAAATAAATAATAAAAATACCTAAAATGGAAAACTTGGATGTTTTCTACTTTTTCCTTAATTTAATGGATTGCTGAAATATTGGATTGGGACTCTGTATCTAAATCACATGACACGGATTGAGGGAAAAAGATCATTTTTGACTTTTTTTTTTTTTGGTACCACCTCACAGAATAACAGAAGGACGTGCTGGGTCCCAGACCCAAAGCAGGGCTCTCACACACGCGACTAGCATAAAAGTTTCAAAGTTAAAGTAGGTCTACTCCACACCGAAGCCAGAGGACACCGCCTGGATATTAGGAGGAGTCTGCTGCTCACACACCGGTGTTACAGAAAGGAGCCGACCCTCTTGAAGCAGCAGCAGCCATGTTTATTAAAGGTGAACTGATCGCTCTCTAGTTTTTGTTGTTAACAAAAATAACAAATTTTGTTTTTCCATCAAACTATCTTAGCTGATCCATCCATCCATTTCTGGCCGCTTATCCAGGGTCGCGTCACGGGGCAGCAGCCTAAGCAGGGAGGCACAGACTTCCCTCCACAGCTCCTGCAGGGGAATCCCAAGGTGTTCCCTGGTCAGCTGAGAGACGTAGTCCCTCCAGCGCATCCTGGGTCTTCCTTTAGGTTAGAGATGGGCGATATGGCTCAAAATCAATATCACGATATATTGAGGATTTCACCTCGATAACGATAAATGGACGATAACTACAGGTATGCGCAGTAGAGCTGTAGCGATGCATCGATGACGTCGACGGCTCGATTCTAAAAATTCGTCGACGTCAGATCCGGTGGTCGACGCACCACGCCCACTTGTTGCATCCCCAGGAGTTTGTAAATAGAGGAGGAATCTGCCTGTTTTTCCTCTAGTCCACCCTCTTCTCCGCCTTCACTAACATCTCCACCAAATACCGAAGACCCAGAACAATGTCCGTCCGCTACTAGATTCCTTTCCTGTTTTGCCCGCCTTCGTCTCCTGGCAACGGGCAACAACTTCCGGGGTCAGATGCGCAGCTCCGTCTCTACTGTGTAAAAAACTTCTAAACCGAGTTTCTGTTATGTTTCTCTAAACATTGGTTCATGGGAGTCTCTAACCTGCAATTTGCTCTTTAAGGGATTTGTCATGTAATTTGTGTCAACAAACCAATCAACTCCAGGCAGAAACAACGTCCATGAAGGTGGCTCCTTTTCTGTGTTCATCTCTTTTCAGGCTAAAGACCAAAGGTGACAGATCATCTGCTGCTGTGGCCCCTAGACTCTGGAGCTCTCTCCCTCTGAGCCTGAGATCAGTGGACTCGGTGGTCTCCTTTGAAAAGCAGCTGAAAACTCACCAGTTCAAGCTGGCTTTGGTGTGACCTTCGTCACCACTCTCTCCCTATTCGGCTCTTTCTACGTATTCCGCCTTTCCCAGCAATCCACTCATTTCCCTCTTTCCTATTCATTTTCTCTCTCCCATTCCTTACATTATTATTTTTAATCACAATTTACTTATCTTCATTTTAAACATATTTTTAATCGTTTTTTGACATCTTTCTAGTTGTTTTGTTTGTGAAGCGCCTTGTGATTTTTATTTTGAGAGGCGCTACGTAAAAGATCGTTTTCTTTCTGTCTTTGCTGCTTTCTCTACGACTCTTAACTGTTACTTCAACGTGAGCTCTCTAAATACACTTAAACCTGTTTTACTTACATTTGTTTTATTTATGCTTTACCGTGAAGCGATGTGTGGCTTTTATCCTGTGAAGGCTGCTTTAAATGCAGAGTTGGCTTTGTTACATAAAATTTTCTTTTACTCTGAAAATGACTTCATAATAACACACACACACACACACACACACACACACACACACACACACACACACACACACACTTTTTGAAAACTTACGTTCGGATCTGTCGTATTGGTCCGTATTTTCCAAAGATATCGTACATCTCCTCAGCTGTGATCTTATAGGGGAGATTCCTTATATACAGGATTCTGTTCACCTCAGGAGGTAATCGGATCTACAACACCATTAAAACACATCATTAAACTATTCAGAGGGAACAAAACTAACCTGGGTAAAAACTCAAATACCTGATACATAAGTACACACGATTACTAGCTGAGGCCTTTTAAGACTACGTAAGTCACTTAATAATAGACATGGCTACTTTTAATCATTACATGCATTAGCTTATCCTTGTTTCCGTACCGGAAGGAACAAATATTCTTAGCCTGACGATATCCCAACGAGGATTATGTCTTCACAAAACAAAAGATGAAAAAACACATGACCTCAAATGGTAAGTATAACTAAAGTGAATATAAAGCTTGAAGATTTCAGGTTTTGAGGACTGTTTTCAATTTGCTAACCTGCTAGTAGTGCGCTAATTCTTTGAGACGCTTCCTCAGAGCTAAACCTAGCTTACATTTCACATTAGCCTTTCCTTTGTCCCCTTATATGCTCCATTACACTTACATTAGCACGTTTTGCTGCTTGCATAGCCATCGTAACGATTTAATTCGTGTAAATAACGCAGATAAACAACAAACACGCTGTTTTCACTTCAAAATGGAGGCTACGGTAAAAATATGTCGAACTTCCGGTTTGGAATTAGGCTACAGATACATCCTTATAACGGTGCTGCCCTCTAGCGGCGGACAAGAACCTCAACCAGCCTGGAACAATTATCCTAACTATAGAAAAATGACATTCTTACAGAAATGCTGTTTGAATACTGGCTGCTGAGGCTGATAACTGAAGATGCATAAGAACTGAACAGAACCTATACTTAAGCTCAACTCAGTAAAAAAATCCCAGAGTTTCTTTCAATATAATGAATACGAATAAAATAACATTTAAAACTGTATAGCAAACAAGTGTTAGTGCACTTTTTTTAAAACATGAAAAAATATTTAGGCTAAAATGTTCTTCTCTCTCTTCATACCAGTTGGTTCCAGAATTGAAGGGAGCACTATTTCCATTCCATTTTATTTATAAAGCACATTTTTACAGGGCCGAGGCCAACCAAAGTGCTGCACAGTAAATGAGCATAAAAATCAACACACTGGAAGAAGTAATAAAAGTAGTACAGTAACTACTATAAAATCAATAAAGACAAAACAAAAACATCGTAAAATGCTAGCTAGGCTGAAGTAAAAGCTAAGGAATAAAAATGAGCCGTCACTGCTAGAGACGAGGCGCACAGACTGAGAAGGCTCGTTCTCCTTGCGTCCTCACCCGAACTCTTGGGACCTGTAACAGGTCTGCTGACCAAAGAATTCGACCAGGTACGTAGGGCTGAACCAGCTGAGTCAAGTAGAGAGGAGCATAAAGATAGAGTTACTTAAAAACAAGAAGTAAAAATTTAAATTGGATGCGGTAGCACACCTGGAGCCTATTCCCTATTCGAGTAATTTGAGCATCAATCAGGTTTTTTCAGCACCTTTAATTTTAATATTTATAAAAAACAAAACACTGATACTGCAACTAATTTTCCTCTGAAACCTCAGCAGACTTTTTAAAAGCCTTTTTTATGCACAAACGAAACAACTGAATTAGAAAAAGGGAAAAGAAAAAGGTTATTGCCATGGTAACGGATGTTGCAGCACTGGCTTATGCTGGGCTTCACTCAAACAGGCACTAAGGTGAAGCTTGGGAGATGAACATCACATCTGGTCTTCACCGAGGCCGTGACCAGGTGTAAATCACATGAACAATGCATCTTTAACACTGCTCTGACTCAACTCTGTCCCCTAAAGACTCTAACCCCCCCAGCAAGACCACGTGAAACACCTAAAAAAGGACACCTTGGTAAATGTGCACACTACATTCAGTAGGAAAACAGTCCTTTCTACCATCAGAAACCGCCTGCATAGCAGCAACATCAGGACCAAGTCCTTTCTAATGTCACGTTTTGAGGATGTTTAGGACACAAATATGCAGAAACCCAGGATGACACGAGGCTGGAGATGATGTAAAGTAAATATGCTTTATTTTGTAGAACGAACAAAAATAAATCCAAAGGCAGTGAGCCAAAAGTCCAAAAATCCAAAAACCCTGGTAACAAAAACAAAAGCTCACTGAGAGCACCAAAACCTGGAGACATAAGCTCAACTAGAGCATGAAACAACGCTGACAAACATACAATGGGACAAGACAGGGCTTATATAGACTGGGAAGATGAGAGGGAGATAATTGCAGGTGTGTGGGGAGAGGGACCAGGTGAACACAATTACTAAATCAGGGAGGAGGAAGAAAACACTGGTGGGAAAAACACACTAAATACTGAGGCCCTGTCCACACGTAGCCGGGGATCTGCCAAAACGTAGATATTTTTCTACGTTTTGGCCTGTCATCCACACGAAAACGGATCTTTTTAAAAACTCCGGCCAAAGTGAAGATCTGCGTTTTCTCCGTTTTGGGTGTCTGCGTGTGGACGGACAAAACCGGAGTTTTAAGGTCCGCAACGTCACTTTCCGCGACAAAAAAATGCTGACATCACGTGTGCGACCTGTGTTTACACTAGCCGACAGCATGGATGCCCTCAGAGCTGCGCTCGCTTTATCAATTGTCCAAGCGCTTTCTGCTTGTTTGTTTTTGCAAGCGGAATTACTGCTCCTTGCGGAAGACCACAGACGAAGGACGAGGTTAAGAACGGGGGAAGTACTGCCGCCTACAGGTCTGGCATGTCCTTAACAACGTATTTATCCGGGTACGTGTGGACAGTTTTTTTTTAAACGAGGTGGTGTGGATGCAAGTTTTTGGGGGGCGGATATTCGTTTAAAAAAAAAACCCGGCTACGTGTGGACTAGGCCTGAAAGGCTGTAATAAAGGAAAATGACCAAAGAGAAAAACAAAAGACCAGAAGGCATGAACCATGACTAATATACTAAGGGGAAGCTGACACTAAAGGAAAACACTACAGAAAGAAACTACAGGGGCGTGGCTAAGAGGGGGCCAAGAGAGCACAGGACCTGAGAGAGGGAAGTCTGAGGAGGGAAACCTAGAGGGCAAATGGGGAACACCAGGAGACACATGAGGAAGACGCAGACACGACACATGAGGGCGCTAGAAGACACAAAAGGAGCACCTAGAGAGGATGGAGAAACACCAGGAGGCACATGAAGGAAGGGGCAGACGCAGACCATGACATCTAAACTGTTTTGTGGTAGCAAAAAAGTCTCAGATGGAAAATGTATTTTTTTTTTCCTTTTGGTGTGAAAAAGCACGTTTACCACTCAGTGAAACTGCGACGATGTGAAAATAAAAACCAGTTTGTTCCTGTTGGTTTTTGTCCCCATGCTAACAGCGGAGGACGCTCTGCACACCGCAGCACGCAGGAATGCCGTCAGTGTAACGATGAATCTCCTCTTTTCCCCTCCCTGTGAAGCACACACAGTCATCACCACTAAGGGGGTCCGGTTTTCAGACGTGTATAAATGTATTCCAGTTGGTTTCACTGGTTAATAAATGAAAATTAATCTTTAGGTAAAATCTAATTTCAAATATTTGAAGTGAAAACAAGTCGAAGGTCATTACCATCAAGCCAAGCAAAGTGGACCTTCTTCCTGAAAACAGGATCCGTCACAATGGCTAGAAATCGCTTGCAGGTCAGTGACAGCATACGGTGATCTGCCAAATCACCTCCTGAAGCACAGCTTCAAGTATCCGAGCAGGCATCTGGAAACACAAACACACATGTGCGTTGTGAGGCTGTCAAAGACAAACTATTTAAACATGAATGAGTCTTACCTGCTAAATTTGGTGGCATCTGCGCTACGTGCACGGTGAAGAGCATAACAAACATTAACACTTTCCATCCCATCACACACAGTATTTTCCCCCTCAGCACCTGCACTGTAATATCTACAGGCTCCAGTTAGCCCAGATTATAACATCCAACCCTAACCCTAAAGCGAGTTGGTGTAACGATGCAGACGATGCTCGGCGCTACATGTCTCCAGGTGACTGAACCCACCCAAACCCTAAACAAAAGCATTGAATTAATCAGCAAATGGATGTGCCATAACGCTCTCCAGCTGAATGGAAATAAAAGGGATGCAATTATTAAGAGGAACAATCATGAGTCAGCACACAGCTTCAGTCACTACAGCTAAAAACTACTGATCAGGCCTCAAATCTGGGTGTAGTGATGGACCTGAACCTCAGGGTCACATAACAAGGGCAGCTTTCCATCACATGTACGGATTAAAGGGATACTTATCAGTTCTGCTTGCTTTTAGCACCCCCTAGTGTCCGTTTGTGTAAGCAAAGCCATCTCCTCGCAGTGCGTTCGTCTGAAACATCTTCCAGCGTTCTGATGCGTCTAGAGGAGAGGATCATCGCTAAGCTAAACAAATCAGCTGTGTTCATGATCTAAAACATGCAGGAAACGTGCTGAAACCAGCTGGACAGCAGCGTCAGATTAGGTCAGCTCAACTTTTTCTAAGTCTCAGCAGACCGGACCGGCACCTGTGAAAGTTGCAAGTGTGATATTCAGGCCACAGGGGGCGATAGGGTCTGGGTGGCTTTTGATTAACTCTGTAAAGAGTCATTTTAGCACGTACTGGCTCAAGAAAATGATTTTAAAATGTGAAGAAGTACCAAAATGTCCCTTTAAAGGACCTCCAAGCATTTATCTATAGTCGGACTGATTACTGCAACAGTCAGCATCTTCACAGCTCTGCCTAAGAAGTCAACCAGACAGCTGCAGCTGATCCAGAACACTGCTGCTCACATCACAAGAACCAGGAAAGTAGAGCACATCACTCCAGTTCTACAGTCTTGTGATAAATGACCCGCACTTGTATAGCGCCCCTCAGTGGATCATTCATCCATTCACACACACATTCATACACTGATGGTGATGAGCTATGATGCAGCCACTGACAGAGGCGAGGCTGCCGAGCACAGGCGCCACCGGTCCCTCCGACCACCACCAGCAGGCAAGGTGAGTTAAGTGTCTTGCCCAAGGACACAACAGCAGCATTCTCTGCCCAGAGCCGGGATGGAACCTGCAACCTTCCGATTACTGGACAACCCGCTCAACCTGTTGAGCTACAGCTCCCTGGAGATCAGAGAATATACTTTAAAATACTTTTACTAGTTTATACATTTTGAAATGGCTCAGCACCAAAGTGTGTGAAAGGCCATTTATCTATGTCAACCCCTCAAACCGCTCAGCTTCTCTAATTCAAATATACTAATTATGCTCAGAATCACAACCCAACATGGAGAAGCAGCTTTTGGGCTCCATGCTCCTCTCAGATGGAATAAACTTCAAAAAGCTGCAAAGCAGCTGAACAACAGAGTTCCTTTATACGAAGGATAAAAACTCACCTATTTAGACTCTAAAAGCCTGTCATGTGTTCAAAGGCATCTCCTGCATCTCTAAAGCTGTTTTATGCCATAACTGTTGATTTATTGCTGCTTTAATTTGCTCCCAGACGGTGCAAAATGCTGCAGCCAGGTTCATCTATGGGGTAAAAAGGTGGGAGCACATATCTCCAGTCCTTAGTGCTCTGCAGTGGTTGCCTGTGAAGCATAGCATTGAAATGAAACTCCGGACTTGTGTTTTCCAGGCGCTTGCAGGAACAGCGCCACCTTATCTTGCAGAGCTTTTAATAAGGTATGTTCCTACTCGACCTCTCCGCTCTGCAGAGAAGGATTTATTGTTCGAGCCTAGATTTAACTGCAGGTCTCGAGGGGGGCGAGCCTTTGCAATACTGGCCCCAAGACTGTGGAACAAATATTTACTGGATATTAAACAGCCATCTACTGTCTGGAGTTTTAAAGATAAATTGAAGCAATATTATCTAGTTAACTTTATACGTTTTTGGTATTATTGTTATTTTTCTGGTAATATTTTTTAGAATATTTTTATTAATTTTTATTGCTTTCAGGCATTATGCTCATTTTGACTTTATTTGTTTTTAGTGTTTTTTAAATGTTTTATGACATCCATTATTTAGTCCTATTGTCGTCTCTAATTTTAATGTATATGATCTATGATTTTATCATGTACAGCAGCCTTGGTTGGTGGCATTAAAGTGCTTTATAAATAAATAAATGAAATAATTTTTTTCTGGGTGCAATGCAGTATTTAATATTTTTAGTTAATGAATGGATTGTGTTTCACCGTAGGCCATGTACAGTTTCACTATCTATTTTACTTTATTTTTATATCTCTTTGTTTAAATGTCTGTTATATTTCTATAGCTGTTTGTAAGAAATTTTTGGTTGTTCTTGTCAACCGTTTAGCGTGCTTGGCGTCTCTTTACGTTGCAGGAAACCTAATTTTAGGAGTTTTCACAAATAATTGCTAGATAATGCAACATCCTAACTTTTGCGTTAGCTTCTGTGAATTATGGCAGTTACTAAGCAAAATAAATATAATTTGCTACAAGACAAAAATATCCTTTGCTTACTTTGCGTTCTGTTTTCCGTGAAAAATTGTTTAACAAAATGTGTTCAATGAACTTGTCAACTCCAGCTTCAAACCGCTTCAAAAGTAGGTCTACTTGCTTTACTTTATACTAGCTATAGCGCCCCCTTTGGTTCCGGAATGCGATTGCGCCATTTCCAAATATGGTATGAGTCTAACGACTGACCAGACACCGCCATTTTCTGCGCAGCCAGTTCCTTCGCGCTGCTGTTGGACGGCGCCAGGAGCTTCTCGAAAGAAAAAAAATACCATTCGCACGTGCCAAGCGATCGGTTTTGGTTTTTAGCTGGCTAGCTAAAGTTGAGATCGTGAGTGCTCCGAATTAGGAACTGCCACTAGTTGTGCATCTCGGAGGCGTGGGAGAAAACTGACCAGGATTAATAGGGGTAAGTTCGGCTAGTTCTTACGAATACGTTTTTAGACGGAAAACTAAGTAAGCGGGTAATCACGTTGCCAAACACGAAAAGCCTTTGGCGGTAGCTCTATCGCCCATCAGGAAAAGATGGCGCTCTGAGTAGCATGTCCGTCTAGGAGCTCTCACTGTTTCCCTCGAAATTGCAAAGTAAGTAGCCTTTTTACTCTCATTCAGTTGGCTAAAATATTGTCGCTTGAGGAGTGAAGTCATCTTATGCATTTATGAGCTTAAAGGATCACGCTTACTGTGTGGAAATGTCGGGTGAAAAGTCCGTGAGCGGGAGCAAACGTGTTGCGCCGCCGACTACTCCTAACAAGCCTCAGGTGCAGTCCAAGAAGAAAAATAGGGCAGAGGAGGATAAAGAAACAGAAGATGGGGGACTCTACACTGATAAAGATTCTAAATGCGGTAACCAACCTGTCTGACAGATTTGATATGCAAGAAAACAAACTGGAAAGTTTAGCCACCAAGATGGAGGAACAGCAAAGCATGCTAACGGAGCTAAAGAAAGAAGTCGCGGAGAATAAGAGCAAAACAACGCTGCTGGAAAGTGAACTGGTTAAAGTACGAGAGGAGATGGAACCTACGACTTAAGGGTGTAAGTGAAAAAGACAACGAAGACATAAAAGGCACTGTAACTGCTATTCTGAACAAAATCGCCCCGGGAGCCCCGTGGAGCTTCCAGGATATGGTGGATACGGTGCATCGTATCGGGAAAAAAGATGCTCTCCATACAAGGAAAGTAATTATTCAGTTCGTGAAGAGAGAGTGCAGAGACCTCATCTGGAAGCTTTCCAAGAACTGTGATGTCTGCTAGAAAAATGGTCTAAGATTAGACGAAGATCTGATTCAGGAAGACGGAGAAGCGAGAAGGCTGTTGTGGCCGAAGGTGAAGGAGGCGCGGGAGAAGAACAAGAGAGCATACTTCAGAGGACCGTTTGCATTTATTGAAAACACCCAGATCTTCCCCTGAAGGAGGAGGTGGGGACGGCTTTCCGAATGAGTGGCGAAGTCATTTAGAGGGACAGTTCTACTAGTCACTAAGCTAGTTTTCTTTGGTGAAATCTTACATTCCTGTTATATCTAATTTAGGGTTTGTTTGTTGTTTATCTAATTATTTGTTTGTTTGTTTTCACGTTTTTGCTTTTTGGGTTTAGATCTGTTTTGAATTCCTTATGAGTTCAAGAATATCTTTTATTTCATTAAACGCAAGAGGACTAAAGGACATTACCAAAAGAAAGGCAGTATTTCTATTCTGCAAGGAACAAAAAGCACAAGTTATATTTCTTCAAGAGACTCATTCGTGTGAAGACGACAAGGCGTTCTGGAAGACTCAATGGGGAGACAGCATCCTTCTTAGTCATGGAGCCAACAAATCTGGAGGGGTGGCGATCTGTTTTAACAACTATCCGGGTAAGCTTGTGGAATATAAAGCAGACTCAAAGGGTCATTGGATAGTTGCTGTTTTGAATTGTGAGGGTGTTTTGTGGATTATTTGTAATGTTTACGGATATAATTTGATTACAGAAAACAAAATATTCTTAAATGAAATTTCAAAAATTATTGGAGAATTTAAAGTTAAATATCCAACAGATAATATATTGGTTGGAGGGGACTTTAACTGTGTTCCTGATGAATGGATGGATAGAGATCCCACTAAATTCTCTACACATGTTTATAATCCAACATTGAGAAGTTTTTGTGTAAACAACTCGCTGTCAGACGCTTGGAGACATATTAACCCGTGTGTTAGACAATTTTCATGGATACGTACAAATGGTAATTAATAAGTCAAGAATTGATTAATGGCTAGTATCTCAAGCTATTTTAGACCATATCTCTCTTGCTGAAATATCGGCAGCCCCTGTTACGGATCATTGTGTAGTTTCTATAAACTTAATTCCTAAGACAGGAAATAGAAGTAGAAACGGATACTGGAAATTTAATGCGTTATTTTTGAATGATGAGGAATACTGTAAAATGATTAAGAAACTATTATTGTCTGTCATAGAAAATCCTCATCTTGATTCTGCAGGGAAGAAATGGGAATTCTTCAAATATGAAGTCAGAAAATATTCTATTAATTATGGTAAAGAAAGGAGGAAAAACAATAAAGAAACAGAAAGACAATTGCTGAGGGATTTGAATAAACTTTGCGGAGATTGTACACTTTCAGATACGAATAGAGAGAAATATTTAAAACTTCAATCAAAACTGGACGAGCTTTATTTAAATAAGGCTCAAGGAGCTTTCATTCGGTCAAGGGCAAAATGGATAGAAGATGGAGAGAGGAATAGCTCATATTTTAGTAAATAAGAGAAAAATAGACGGACAAAAAATGTGATAAATTCACTAAATATTAATGGTAAGTTAATTAAAGATCAAAGAGAAATTTCAGTCAGTATTTATAATTTTTACCGTCAGTTATACTCCTCTCACTTTAAAGAATTAGATTCCGTAAAATTCTTTAACTACATTGAAAGGTTTATCCCTCAAATTAATTTAGAATTTAAAGAAGAATGTGATATGGATTTGAATATTTCTGAACTTGACAAGGTGATTCAAAAGGTAGCACTGGGTAAGTCTCCTGTCCAGGACGGTCTAACCACAAACTTTTATAAATACTTTTGGAAAGATGTTAGAGAGCTACTATTTGAAGTTTTACAAGAATGTATTCGGAATAATTCACTCTTAACTACGATGAAACAAGGAGTAATAATACTGATACCTAAACCCAACAAAGATAAATCTAATATTGATAACTTAAGACCTATTACGTTGCTGAATGTGGACTATAAATTATTCACTCATACACTGGCTAACAGATTAAAAAATGGAATAAATGATTTCATTAGTGAAACTCAATCAGGTTTTCTTCCAAATAGACATATTCATGACAACATCTGTTTATTCTTGATTTATTAGATAATGAAAATTTGGTAGAAGAGGATGGGGCTATACTGTTCTTAGATTTTTTTTAAAGCTTTTGATAGCCTCGAACATCATTTTATTATAAAGTCACTCCAGCACTTTGGATTTGGTAAAAAATTCATTGATATTATTACATTCCTATACAAAGATATATCGAGTGCAGTTCTTCTTTCTTCGGGTACGACAACCAAATTTCCAGTTAATAGAGGAGTTAGACAAGGAGATCCTATTAGTCCACTTCTTTTTATTATAGCAACAGAAATGCTGACTTTACTAATTCAAAATGATCAATCAATTAAACCGTTAACAGTGGCAGGACACTCGCTTAAAATAATTCAACTAGCAGATGATACTGCATTATTGTTGAATAGTACCAAGGAAATTCCTAATGCCATGAAAACGCTGTCTTTGTTCTCACAAGCCTCAGGTTTAAGGTTGAATGCTAACAAATGTGAAATATTAACAATTCATGATACTGAGGAGTTTCATATTTGCGATATCCCTATTAAGAATGAAATTAAGTATTTGGGTATGAAGATTAATAAAATCTTTAAGGAGAGAGTGGATAACAATATCTAACAGATAATTAATAAAAATCAAAAGATTCCAAATAGTTGGCTCCAAAGAAATATATCAATTTTTGGTAGAATACTCATAACAAAAATGGAGAGTATATCTAGATTAATCTATCCTGCTTTTTCAGTAGCTATCCCTGACCAATATGTTAAGAGAATAAATAAAAGACAATATGACTTTATTTGGAATAATAAACAACATTTGATTAGGAAAAACGATCTAGTAAAACCTTTACCCCCAAATTCCACTACCTCCGCTCCGCTCCGACACGAACGCCGGAGCAAAATCGGTCCCGTTGTAGTCAATCAGAGCAATTCCACTACTGTGGCCGTGCTCCGGCAGTGCGGCGCAGTGCGCCGCCCTCTGTTCCGGCGTCCGGCAAAAATAGAATCGATCCTATTTTCGCCGGACGCCGGAGCACCTCCGCAGTAAATGGACAGAAATCACAACGGCCCAACAGGAAAAGGAGCAAGCACAACTTCCGTTTTTCACAATAAATCGATAAACAAAAGGCGTTTTTGTTTCATATGCACAGGTTTAACACCTTTTAACAACTATCAATGGCGGCTGAAGTTTAAATTCACAAAAGTAAGCCATAAATACAGTTTCCACTATCAAAGTAGTCACACTTTGTTGATCCAAACACTGCTGATCTCTCTACACAAATGATGGGCAGATTAAACAGTTCATGCCGATGCTTCTCCCACACAACGGGTGTTTGGATCTAACTTCCGCGTTTATTGCTCGGACTGTATCGCAAGATCTCGAAAATCCCGCGCATGCTTGTTTGCCCACCTCAGGTCTCCGCACCGGAGCGGAGCCGTTGTAGAGCGGGTAGCAGTAAAAATTGAGTTCGGAAGCGAGCGGCTGCGGGGGGCGGAGCGGGTGTAGTGGAATTTGGGGGTTAGAAGAAGGAGGTCTGAAAGTCATTGACTTTGAAGTAATGAATGGAGTTATTAAATTACAATGGCTAAAAAAATTTTAATTAAGAAAGATTCTATCTGGTTTTGTATTCCTTCATTTCTGTTTGAGAAGATTGGAGGTATAGATTTTCTGTTAAAATGTGATTTTGATCCTCTTAAATTACCCATCAAACTTTCTAACTATATTAAACAAGTGTTGATGTACTGGAAAATGATCTACTCGCACAACTTTAGCCCACATTCCTCCTCTATAAGGAATAACAGATTTGTTCTGTATAAACGGAAATCCATGTATTATAAAAGTTGGATGGATAAAGGAGTTTGGGCCATAATGCAGCTGATGGACAGTAAGGGTAAGTTTCTGGAGCATACTGAGTTCAAAATTAAGTATAATATAGACTGTTCTGTAGTGGAATACTCTAGAGCTATAAAGGCTATTTCTCCAGCTGTTGGCCAGATGGTCAGTCAAAGTATTCAACATGGAACAAATACACCTAAGCTTCCTAAATTATCTATAGGTGATTTGAGTTTTACAGACTGT